CAGTTTCACTTTCATCTATTTATATATTTTAAACTGAATATACATTTCGCATTTTACAGTCTGTCGTTTCGCATTTTACAGATTTGTAAAATGCGAAATCCTCGTTTCGCATTTTATTGTGTCGTTTCGTTTCGTTTCGTGGTTTATGGTAAGCCCACTTTGTTATGGTAGTCAAGACCAGCCGAGCGAGTATCCTTTCTTCGAGCTTGTTGAATATTCATGTTCGGTGATTTTCAAGTTTATCGGTCATTCTAGCTCATTTATTTACGCCATTCCTCAAAGTTCCTAGCAACGGTGCTGTTCCTAGCAATTTACTACGAGCTTCTAGCGATCATATTCCAACGGTTGCACTCCCCGCCACTTCTCCCCCCTTCGGGGCTCGCTCGTAAATTCATCGACTCGCCTGCGTAATAAATCTCTCCTTTTTGAAGCCTTATATCTCGATAACCAATACGGCGACCCCCGTCTCTTTTTTCATTAATTGAATACTCTAACAATGAACTTCAAATGACAGAATTTTTTTAAAAAATCATAGAAGAATTTTGAAGATCCGGTACTACCTAAATTAACATAACACAGTAGTCCAAAAATACGGCTCATAGCCAATTTAATTAACCTAGTATTTAAGAAATATCAAGTGGTACGATTTCTATACAATTTCTACCCAATACTCCAAAGTGATTTACCAACTTCTTTAGATAAGATTAGGAACTCAAAACTGAGAAAATAAACTACTTTTCCACAAAGTTACTAACATGTTTTGTTTTTCAAATTTTTTATACTTCAAAACTTCAATATGAAATGCTCATACAGATTTTTTTCAAATTTTCTGTACCTTGAGCAAATTACTTATCCTCCAATATCTCAAAAGCAATTTAAAAACCCTAGGTTAAAAAATGGAGAAAATAGGCAATGAAGTAAACGCACTAACGCTTAACAGCAATCTTATATTAATTCCGTAATTCAGTAAAAACATGCTCATTCGAAAATTTCATCATTCCTTTGAAACCTCTAAAAATATTTTTATTATTGGATTGTTTGCGTCCGCGTATTTGCGATTTGAAGTTGCATGGTATCGAGCGGATAAAACCGAGTGGAGCCACCTTAAACACCATGTAAAAAAGTTTCAAACGTTAGTCCTTCGTCGGATTAAAAACATGTAAAAAAGAAAGTTGTTTTGAGTTGGAAAATACGAGAAGAATTAATTATAACAGCGGGATGTGCGTCACACGACGTTTACGTTACAGTGCCATGGACATTTCCATAATATTAGAATTTTAGACGTATCTCAGTATTATTTACATTGAATAGTCTAGCCTATCGTGTGTATATGTAACGTAACATAAAATATGATGGTCCATCAGCAATGTACTACTAGACACAGGAATCATGGGAAGGGGGATAATCCCTCATTGCCTGGTAATTATTCCACAAAACTGTATCAAGCGTCGAAAATCAGTCATTAGCATCGTTTTCTTAGAAACGGCTGAAGAAGAAATGTAGTTCTTGGGCGAAATGACAACGTTTTCTGGCGGACGATATGATGTCCTGAGAGATCAGTCTGATAACGAAAGCCCCGAAGAAGAGGAGGATTTACATGAAGTCCCAAAGTCAAACGAAAAAAAAAAGAAGAAGAAAAAGAAAAAGAAGAAGCAAGGAGATGAATCCGGCAACGGAGCTTTGAAACCTGATCGAACAGAAGCGGAAAAAGTGGTTGTATCTGCGACACAACATTTAACGAAGAACAACAACAAGAAGAAAAGTGCCAACCAAGGCATTCTCTCATCTGAATTTAATTTCACGCTTCCAAAAGGCACCAATAAAAAAGGAAAGGAAACACATAACGACGAAGAAGGAGAAGAAGAAGCTAGCACAGGTATTCTTTCATCTGAATCAACTGCATCGCTTCCAAAACCCATTGGTGAAGAAGGAATAGAAACAAACGATAACAAAGAAGGCGGAGAAGGAGCTACTAGCACAAGCATTCATTCATTTGAATCAAATGCATCGCTTCCAAAACCCATCGATGAAGAAGAAATGGAAACAAACGATAACAGAGAAGGCGAAGGAGGAGCTACTAGCACAAGCATTCATTCACCTGAATCTACAAAAGAAAGGTAGCTGCTTTATAAATATGTTTAGAGATTAGTTATCTAAATAATCAAGGCTTCTATAATTTGTCAACTATTGGTGAGAGCTTCTCGTATCAACTAATTGAGGTGATCATGATTTTCTAAATTTTGAAATTATTTTTTCGAATTTTGAAACTATTTATGAATTTTGGACTTATTTTCCTAGTATAAAATTTGAAATTATTTTCTGAATTCGGAAATTATTTCTGTTAATAAATTTGAAAATTATTTATGTAATGTTTAATAAACGAGCAGGAGTGTTTTATCGGGTATGAAACACGAGGCGTAGCCGAGTGGTTTTATACCCGATAAAACACGATCTGCGAGTTTATTAAACGGCTTAAAAAACTCCTGATGTATGTTCTCATACTGTACCGAATTCTTTACGAAATGAACCAAGTTTGATAGAGAAAATCCAAGTTAAAGTTTATGCAAATGAAGATGAATCTATATCAGATATAAAACCTCCTTCATGGTCATGATTTCTATTGTGTTTCCTTCATGAATTATTAATGAGTTTTTTAAGGTGTTATTTATATACGGAGTTGCAGTCTAATGCTAATTTGTATATTTGATGTCATATTATTTTACCAGTAAGTTTGTTTGAGATACCTGTATATTCGAGGTTAAAGAAAGTTAATATATGTAAGGGAAGATCAGTGACAAACTTGTTTTAAATTCTATCGATTAAGTTGATTTTATTATGAAAATGCATGTGTTCATTGTCAGAAACCCACAATAAATTTTTTAAACATATTCGTAAAGTTTTAATTTCCATTGTTTATTTTTAATTTTAAATTTTTCTAATGTTCGATAGGCAAAATCGTTTTCAAGTCATGTGGCTCGTGAATGGCGTTGGCTTGACTGCACTAAGGAAACTTTTTATGGATATTCACCCCACTTGGTCAAACAATTCTGCAGATGCAAAATCTCTTGATAAGGGACGCATGATACTCAGTGAAGAGCATGAATTGGTTGCTTTCAATAATGGTGACATCAACAAATGGGATGTTTCACTCATTACAAAGGTACTCCTATATTCAAAGAAATGCAAAGAGGTAATCTCCAAGAGACTGGGATTTAAACGTGCTATTTGCTGCATTAAACGTTATAAGGACAAGCTGGTTAGCCATGCATGTGATGAGAAAATGTCTGATGCTGATTACCAAGTCCATTGGCCTGCAATATCTGGACATCTAGAAACTATTGGAGCAAGCAAGGAAGAAATTGATACAATTCTCAAAGGTACGTGCGTTTGTATTTTATTGGCACATTTTGGTGTTCTCTTAGCTTTTGATCATTTGGCTATAACAAGTAAGTCTACCGGGCAAGTAGAAAACTTGACCGCATAGTGGTGCGATAGACTATTTTCGAAATGCGCTAGCGATTTCGCAAACATCGCAGGCATGAAAACGAGGCATTTTCCGGCAGAGTTAATAAAAAACACCAAGAGAGCATAAAAATAAGAGAGGGAAACTTCTTATTGTGGCGCGCGTCATGTAAATTCCCGGTTGGGCAATTTTTAGTAACCGGTTGCAGTTTAAATTATTTAGCCTTACTCTACTCCTGTGCGCTCTTTCTGTTTGTTATTTTGACCTCGTTTTTAGTGACCTAGAAATCATCAGGTTGTCTTGGTTGTCATGATGGCCTGAGTTCTAATTTTTTCCTAATTGAATAAGTATTAACTGAGTGTATCCTGTTCAATTCTCAAAAAACGCTTTAGAAAATGGCAAGGTTTACCATGACCAGCTGAGTTCCCGACATGACTATCCTAATTGGGATGAATGGATGAAGTTCCGTAATAATGTACGCAATTTTGACCATTCCCAGAACAACTATATTCTTGTGACTGACGCAATATCACCAGAATTGACGGAGTGCTACTCCGTTTTTCGAAGTGTCCCATGGAAAATGGTCCTGGATTTTGACCCATCTTCCGAAGAGGCGGGAATGTACCAAGACTTCACTTCAAAGGATGGAACAAGCAGCCTCATTAACATGATCACACCCGGAGAAATACGTCGTCTACCTTTCTCCAGTCTTTCTCGGCACATTGATGCGAAAAAAACTCAATGGATGTTTGTCAATGGAAGAAAGAGTGACGGATCTGATGGTGGGCCTCAACACTTTGAGGACTGGGAAGATGTTTCACTCAAAGAAATAACAAAGTTTTTTGGATGCTTTTCTGAACCAGACAAATTCGATAAGAATATGCCAGTAATTTGCCTTGTTTTGCCTTTTAAAAAAGAATCAGTTCCTTTCATTGAAGTAACGCTGAGAAGACTGGTGGAAAATTTCAATGAATTTAACTTGCAATTTGTTGGAATCAAGCAAGACCAGTGTGGTGCCCTTTCAGATAGATTGCTGAAGAAGATAAACTTGCAAGCTACAGATCTTGGACCACAACTTTTGCGTCTAGCAATGGAAGACCTATTCCATATTTCATCAGAACAAAGTTACTGCATGCCAACTTCTCAAGCAAATGTGCCCGCAAAGCTAACACAAAAGGAATATCTCTATCTCAAAGAGTATTTAGATGTGCTGTACGAAGGCTGCGAAGATCCTGCAGACCTGATCGATGACGATGATGATTTCGTTGAAGAACGTAAAAAGTCATTTATGTCCGGGAATTGTATCTCTTTCGTAAGCCTCTCTTACAACCATGATGCAAAAAGAGAAATCAGCAACGTCATTCGCACCCATATCCAACGTATCCTAGATCAGGGTCCTAGTACACACCCATCTATTGTTGAAATTTCTCACTCTCCGGGCTCAGGGGGATCAACAATAGCGAGGCGTGTGATGTGGGATTTACACAAGTCTTATCCATGTGTATTTGCAAAGCTTGAGGACCATAAAAATGATCTCGAAGATGATAGTACATTTTTAGATCATCTTGCAGACCGCATAATTTTTGTGCAAGATAAGTGCTACACAACGCCTGTGGTCCTCCTAGATGGAAAGCATACGAGTATTGAAGCTCTAAGCAGTAGGTTGGCTCGTAACCTAAATAGCAAAGGTAGGAAAGCTGTATTGCTGAGATGTAATCATACTTCAGGAGAGGGCAAAAGTCAAAGTATCCCTGAATCTTCAGAGGTCCATGCTAGGTTTTGCGTTAATGTAAAGCTTGAAAAATCAAAGGCGGACCTCAAAGAATTTAAAGACAAATATAAAGATTATATCGAAGATTTTAAGAAGATCAAATCAGTGTCAGGCCTGTCTAGAGTATTTCATTTTCCTCTTTTAGCTATGTTGGGGGAATTTAGACCCAAGCTACAGCAGATAGTTTATGAAAGTTTCGATGAGATGGAACCTCTGGAAAAGGAAATAGTGCTTGTTGTCGCCTTCCTACAGAAGTATGCTGCACGAGCAACACCAGCTCCACTCTTATACGCTGCATTTAAGAACTCTTTCCAGCAGAGTAGTAAGCAAGCTATTACATACGAGGACATTAGCAAAATCATCACAGAGCCGTTATCGAATTTAATGGTGCCTGCAGACCCTACTAAATTCCTTTATCAAGGACGATACAAAAGGCTCAACTATTTTCAAGAAAGATATACCCTTCAGCATCCTGATGTTGCTGAATTAGTCCTCAAGAAAGCAAAGATGACTTTAAAGCAGGACACAATGGCTATAACCCGTGATTTCCTGGGTTTTCCTATTTATGATGACATCCGCTTTATCCCTCTAATGAAGGATTTGTTTGTGCTTAACGGGAGTCTACGAGGGGGCGGATTCTCTTCATTGTTCAAGGAGCTAAATGCGATGAATTCCAAAGAGGCTGGAGAACTGTTCTGTGAAGCTGCAGATAAGACCAAGGATGTTGCTGTCGTTACAGGTGCAGCTCGGTTTTTTGCTAACCTGCAGTCGCCAAGTTTCGAAAAAGCTAAAGAATTGACCGATAAGGCGTTTGAATGTAGGAATGCAAAAGACAAACGCAATAAAATATATGACGTAAAGGGAGTAGTTCTGTCAAAAGAAATACGGTTCCTGTCAAACAACGAGCAAATAAACTCTTTACAAGAATTGCAAGGTTTGGCAGAGAAAGCTATAAGTTCATTTAGGAAAGCAAAATCCAATTTCCCTTCCTTTCCTAATCCTCTTATTGGAGAGGTTAAGACGTGGTTGACTTGCATAGATTGGATAACGAAAACCCGCTTCAATGGGGATTCCAATAAGACCTTGGAGTTCATCACGTCACGTGAAGCGCCTTCGTTTTTCCAAACTTGCATAAACCACTCCTTTAATCTTCTAGATACTGTCGATGAAATAGTTCAGTCAGCTAACAACTTGCCAGATCCAGACAAGACACAGAGGGAGGCAAACAGATTAAGACTGGGACTAATAAAAACAATCAGAAAATCAAATGAAGGACGATCGGCAGAGGAAACGGAAGTCGTTGAAGTATGTAAGGCTCTGTGTTCCGCTGAGTTTCCGGCTTCATCAGAACTTGAGCTAAAACGTCTTCAAGTACAATACCTCTTAAGCTCTGTGAAGCAGATGGAAAGCTTAAGCACAGAGGCTCTCCAGTACCTAATGGAACTACTAACAGAATTGGTCGAGGTCGAGAAAGACGCAGTTTTTGCTAAACACCTAATGAAAGTTTGCATTCTTATTGATGGTTTTTCTTTGGATAGAGGTCTCGAAGCTTGCGAAATCTGGAGCAGAATATCCAATTATGATCCTTTTCCTTATTTTTACGAAATGATGATCTGTTTCCTCGAGATACTGGATGGACGTACATTCGAGTATAGATCGAAATATCATGAGTCTCTGGATAACTGTAAAGCCAAATCCCAACACAACTATAAGAAAATGATGTCCACGCATTTTTTGGGTAAGGAAGGGGAAGGAATGTCTCGTCTCATGACCAAAGCTGCTTTCTTCAGTGGCGAAACAGAATATAAGTCTTCTATCAGTGAAGTAGCTGAAACCTATTGGAAAACGAAAAGCCGCAAAAAGCTTTTGGAGTGTTGTGGTCGAATAAAAAGTCGTACGTCCTCTAGTGGAAAGGATGACCATCTTATCATTGAGCTTCTTCAAGGCAACGTCGAGCTTCACGTTGCCAGAAAGGCTAGCATTGGAGCACCGGATCGCGATTTTGTCCCTGGAAGTAAGGTTTACTTCGTTGTTAGCTTTAACCTTTTGGGACCAGTTGCCAACGGCATAACTTTCAAGCCATCAAATGAGCGAAGTGACACAGAAGAGAAGTAAAATCCTAACCACTATATGTACAAGGCATTGAAACTGAACCCTGCTGTCAGTGTACCATATGCAAACAATAATAGATAATTATTATCTATATCATATTGAAACAGTCCAGCATGTTTCGTAAAACCACTTTGTCAAGGTTCAGGAAAATTGAATTTCAAGAACTGAAGTCTCGTACAATAACGAACATATAGACAGTAGAGAAAGGCACAGACTCCATCGGAACAAAAAAATTAAACTTGAATGTGTACTGATGCCAAAGATTTTATTATCAAGCATGCTTAGTGAGATGCAGTTAGACAATCTGACCAGGATGAAGCAACCAGTTGAAAAACGGCGAGGTCCACGCCATAAGTAAAAATGGATTAGGCTTCATTTGATAGTAGGTAGCTAGCTAGATATAGTCATTTAATAATATTACCACAACAAAGGTCTTGGACCTTTCATAATGGCAAACGAGGTGCATTGATGTCGCGCTTCACCGTATAGAAAAAAGTGATCGAAGTTTTCTCAATTCGCTTTTGCCTTCAAATTTGAATTTTTTTTTTTTTATAAATTCAACAAATTTCCTCTATTTCTGATTTACTTAGCCAGATTGTACGTTTTTATTCAAAAGGACAATGGGAAGAATGATATAAAACGCCATTTTTTAGCCATATATTCATAGAAATAACCAGACCAAATAGGGGAAAAAAACTTTATTCTCGACTTTCACATCCCCATAATGCCTTGCGTTTTTGGGGGGTAACCAATCAAAAAACTGTCCCAAATTGAAAGGTTTCTTAATTGAAATTATACTATACCTGCTTTTATCTGTACAATACTGATTATCAGTTTATTCCAAGTTATTTTTGAGTGTACAGATCATGTGAGTTTTGGTCTTACAGAAAATGTATTGACTTACGAAAAAATGCTTAAAATTTACCTTAAACATCTTCAAGCTTCTACCTTTTTCTGTTTTTTACTTCTTCATTTTATCTTTGGATACCAAACAAGGTATTTTCAACATTGTCTGATCAGCCTTCAGCAAAATAAGTAGGTTTTTACCTTCTGGTTACCCCCCAAAGACGCAAAGGATTATGGGAATGTGAAAGTCAAGAATATAGATGTCCAGAATTGAATGGATGTAAATTTTAATGGGATATTTTAGGGTTGTAGCACGCGCATATTCATCGTCGCGACGAAGTTGTTAATCAAGGCGTCGTGCTTCTCCTAACACTTACTCTCGAGTTCTACCAGCCCCCGCGTGCTTTATAACTGCACACAGCACGCGCTCACGTTTTCTACTTCTTCAGTAGCACGTGCAGATTCATTGTAGCAACGAAGGTGCTTTTGGTAGACGTTAATCAAGGCGTTTCAATGACATTCCATAGGCATGTCCCGTGCCGTGGAAACTTGCTTTCCGGCAATGTCTAATGCGAACGCTTTTAATTGATTGACGACCATTATAAGCTTATTTTGCAATATTGCTTATTTTGTTGTAACAGCAAACTGTAGGATTTCGCGCATGCCCATAAAAACAACTGTAGATTTCTAGGTTCAGATGTTGTAGTAGATTTCCCGAGTCAGACAATGAATTTTGTCACAATATTGCATGTAACCGAGGTAATCATAAATCAGGGAATATCTAATTTAGAATTGCACAGCGAATAAAATGTAATAGCGCAGCGCACTGATTCTAAGAATAGCTTAAAGATTCGGACAAACATTGCATTCTGTTTAACCGCTACGAGGATTATACGAACCGATTTTATTATTTTTACTTAAAGTTACAATAATAACCCATGTAAACTAAGATCAACTGCGATCGGCTGTGAAAATTATCTGCTGAAAGTAAACTTTTAAGTTTGTTTGTCCGAATTTCGCCTTTGTCTTCGTTTTTATGACGTCACGTTTGCGCTGCGCTATCAAAGCCCGGACATGCTGAGTTGCGCATACCGTTGCTGGCAACACTTGTACGGGAATTTTACAAACTTACAATTTTACAGCAAATCAATAAACCAATTAAAAAACCTCAATCGTTAGCTGTATGATAGTGTCAACTAATTGAACAGCAAAAAAATTATGGGGTTATGCATGTCTAATTAGCAATTAGACCTACAGCCTGAATGGTCTACAAGTCAATAGTCGAGAGGTCTGATTGTTTTAGTATATTACTAATCAGTTAAATAAAATGAATACAATTTTGAAATTAGATTGTGATAATTTATTGTGTTGGCTTTCAAAACTGGCACTTTTTGCTACCAGTCATCTATGACTAATAGACCACTAGTAGCTAAGCCAAACATAGTGAGGGGATTGTGATAGATCATTAGCAAGTTTATACTAAACTAAATTATCTCATACAAATAACCAATAAAATGGCAAAGTTATAGATTTGAAGATATGGCCATGTAGAAAATAATATTTCACAAGCTAAGATACACAGGCATATGTATTTGTATATATGTAACCGGCGGCAAGGCGCTCAGCTATGAATCAGATTGCAAGTGGTTTTGACAAAAGAATTTATTGAAAAATTCACACAACTTTACAATACA